TAATAATAATAATAATAATAATAATAATAATAATAATAATAATAATAATATTGAACATAATATCAACACTAATAACAACAATAACAACAGCAATAACTATAATAATAATGACAGTAAAACTAATAAAACCCAGGCAAATCTCGTCCACATCTCAGTCATTGTTCTCGACGTCGATCTCTATAAAGCAGCGCACTTAAAGCCTCGTTTCAGCTGGACAAGTTTCGGGTTTCTCGCCCTGGTACGACCGACAGACAAGTTCAACGAGGTCCTCTTGTGCGTCGTGCTGGTTCTCTTGTGTGAACACCTGTGGGATAATGAACAGGTACGTATAAAAATAGTGAACACGTGTACTTGAGCTACACTGTGCATGGTAATACATATAAAAATAGGAGGAATTCACATATATTCATATGAAAATAAGCGATTCTGAACATGAAGATATTTTAGGGATAAGAAAATAGGGCAAACACACACCTTTACACATACATGAGCGCGGTTTCAGTTATTGATAATAATAATAATAAAAAAACAGTAGAGAGAAACAGCAGAAAAAGTAATACAATAAGAAAAAGAAGCGTGCATACTAGCAGGTACATGCAAAGGCAAGTGAATTCTAATTTCTTTGGTTGTAGGCTAATGACCTGTTGGCAGTTGCTGTTCTGTGCTATTGTTCGTATTTTTTAAATTTAACTATTTACATAGTTTACTATCATATATATACATATATATTAATATTTATATATATGTATATATATATATATATATATATATATATATATATATACATATACACATATATGTATGTATACGAGCACACACACACAGACATACACGCACACACACACACGCACGCACGTACACACACACACACTCACACGTGTGTGTGTGTGATATAAATAAATAAATAATAAATATATATATATATATATATATATATATATATATATATATATATATATAAATATATATATATACATATATGTATGTGTGTGTGTGTGTGTGTGTGTATAAATTGTTACGATGATGTATATATCCAGCCGTTATTTAACTTATTGTTTATTCCGACCACCGCCGATGCTTTCGCAACCAACAGCCCGCACAGTTGGTGCGCGGTTCGTAATGAACAGTTTCAATAGAAAGTAATAATAACTTATCTACGTTTCTACCTCTCAATTTCCAGTCTTTGTACATGCTGAGGAATGCCGACACACGCACACACACACACACACAAACACACAATATACCCACATCATTGAGGATAATCCAAGGCATCCAGTCAGGCCGCGGGTCGAGAAGTCCTTGCTCTAGACCCGCCTCGTGAAGCAACTGCTCGCCCTCCAACGACTGGGAACAGTTCTCGATGGGCTGCCACTCCACTCCCACTCTCTCGGCACACTAAGGAAGAGGAAGACGGCAAGTCGACATGTGGAGACAGTATCGTTTAGTATGAAATAGCATATAATAAGATGGTTGATATACCAATCTACAATACAGCACAATCAAGATGTTCCCTATATCGAGCTACACAAGGTTTAGGCATTAAGATGTAGACATGTGCAAGAAGTTCCGTGTAGCAAGCAGCATCACGTGTAAGACAGCATACACGCATTAAGGTATTCACAATCGATCTTCACTGTAATGGCAAGCCGTCGGACCTGATACGGTCTTTATATGTGTTTACTTCCAAAAACAATAATTAAGGTATCCCCTTTCTCGACTTACATGCTAGCACTTAGGCACAGAGATGTTCCATATGTCAATCTAACCAACAAGAAACGGTGACAATATCCTCATAACAATCTCTGTGACAGCTTGTGGCCTTTACGATAATTATTTTACCTACCCCCTTGACATTATAAAGGCATTTATTTGTACATACGGCAAAATAAGTATTGATTTTCATTAAAGCTTTTGTAACATCTCTACACACAACCTTTTACATCACAAAATCGCAGCTAATATAAAATGAAAGCTTAGAATATCTTTGAAGTACCATTATATCTACGACGTATAAAGTTATCACCTTCACTGCTCAACACGAATCTTATGTACATTATGCTATGACTTTACGCTTTTATGCTAAATAACTATTTCATGTTGTTCATTTACTTTTGCAACGGATCGGTTTGAATATGACCACGCCCAAAGCAAAGGCCCGCCCCCTCGATTCCTGTCGTAAAAAAGTGTCCTTACGGTGGAAATGATGCCTAATGTTTATACTAGGTAACGGACCCCATGTATTTTTTTTTTTCTACTGTGTACCTAATATCAATCCTTTCGATAACATTTAAATTCAAATATTCCTTACGTAAGTCTGTCCAACTAATACCCAACCACTCTATTATGACTAACCTGTTTCCCGAATTTTAAACCCATTCATTGAAACATAGGCCTACCTTCTCGCCCTCGATAGGTGGGTAGAAGCCACTCATGAGGCAGAGAGTGAAGTCGACGTAGGTCTCATGGTCCAAGTACTTCTTGGCACACATGACGATCTTGT